ACTGTCCTTTCTGGCAATTACAACGGGATTCCAGATAAATCCAGAAAAAAACTTCAAATGGCACCAAAATTGTAAATAAGAGGAAGCAAAAAATCGTGGACAGTGGCGCTTGATTTCGAAAATATTGGTGCGGAAATTATTATTATTGTTCAAAAAGAAAATGAATGCGATAAATGCACAAGAGAAAATGAAAAACGTAGAGAGAGAGAGAGAAGTGTGCGCAAAAATAACGCCTGAAAGAACAATACAATCAGAAATCAAATTTTGTAAAAAATTCAATCATGTAAAAGAAGCGATCCGTGAAAAAAAAAAAACTCCACCCTAGCATCTACAAATGAAGCCGAATTCAACAAAACTCGGGCGGACATCAAGCCAGGAGACAGACCCTGCCCGAATCTTTTCGTAGGATCGAATTCAAGGAAAATCGAGCTGAAAAAAACAAGTCACACCTAAATGATTTTCTGTCTTATTAAGTTTTCGGCTTCAAAGGAAATCTGTCTAGCATCGACTGAGGAAGCAGCTGGGTCACTTTCTGACGGATCCAGTTCTCAGATTCAAGAAAGCAAAAAAAAAAAAAAAACCAAAGAAATAAAGTAGAATCCAGGCAGTCGGCAAACTACTTATGCAAAAACCAGGAAAAACACGAAGCAAACTGTGGAATAAACGATAGGCGAAAATATACCAGAAAAGTAAGAGAACGTTGTTAAGAGCGAATTACAGGATTCGCACGCGACGAAAACAAACGATACAAAGAAAAGGACGAAGAACAGCTGACCGCTCTCCCTCCCCGGTGATCGAAGTGTGCCAACGCCTACAGATTAGCAGTGGACAAATGCATCAAGAGGGATGTTCTAACAGTTGGCCAGTGATACACGCACACAGTCGAACTGCCTTATAAAGTGCGTCAGAAGGCCAAGGATTAAACTGTAAAAACGCTAAACTGAGGTACTAATTTAACAAACGGGAGAGAGGGAACGAATGCCAAATTTGCGGCCACTGGTAAACATTATCACTGACGCAGCGAGAGTCGGGTCGCCGAGAAGAGGCTGCTTGCTCTTTTTTCGCTCAGATGATGCAGCCAAATGAGTCAAATGGAATGGAAAAATTACGATGGAAAGATTCGAAATTTCAGATATCACACGACAAAAACGATCAAGCACAAGGCACAAGACCTATTACACTTGTACTCAACTAAAATGGGCCGTCGAACGAGGAACGAAGTGCAGATACAATAAGTAAAACCGGGCAATGTACATCCTTCTAATATTCGGAGGCACGTTTTCCCGTCTCTAATTTTTCTGGCTTCAGTTCCTTCGTCCCTTCTGACAGCTACCACATTCCCTCTCTAGATTTGTCAGCTCAAACTTGGGGAGAAGAAACGAACGTCAGGATCATCATCAGCAGCAGCAGCAACAGCAGGAAGCCGACACCACTAGGGGGTGTAGCTGGTCAAAGCAAGTGGAAAAGTTGTCAGATACATTGCTGGAGAACCAAACTACAGTTGGATTACAGTTGCTTCAAGTATGTTCATGGTTCCACCAATTACAACAAATCTTTTTAGCTAAAATCTACATCACGCGTCGCCGTTATTATAAGCACACAGGTTGAACGAAAATTTATTAAAAAAGTGCTAGCTTCGGTGGTGGTGCACAAGAGGCGCGATGTAAAAACTCAAAGATGGGAAAAACGCAGTGAACTCAAAATCTGTAAAAATGTTAATTTTAACGCACACAGTGTAAAATGAACGATCAGTTTTCTCAATGCGTCCCCCGATCTATGAATTTGGACTCGCACATGTGCATAATGGTTACAAATCAGCGTGGAACAGCGATTTACCTGAGACAGTAATTTTAAGTGCCGTACAGCACTAATCCAAGCAGAATCTGTGGAAACTAAGGAACTCGTAAGGACTAGTGTCCCAGAAAAGGAAGATTTTTACGAGCGCCCAAGACCTCGAACTCAACGGTGCTTGCTTTTCGAGGCGTTTATCCATTTCTAACATTTCTGCAGTAAAATACAGTTCCACTGAATTTATGCTAAGGTTTCTTTGCGCAGGATTTTTGTCTTAAATTATTTTTTCAAAAATTTCCCCTCAAATTTGCCTCCAAAAATTTATTTTCTACAGAACATTCCCTTATCTCTTGGATGAGTCGAAGGCTGAACTAAGTATCTTAAGCTGTAAAGTACTGCTTGCTCGATTCGGACCGAATGTTATTGAGTGATGACTACGATTCCGGATGACACCATTATCATGATTTAGACTGCAATATTAAGCAGTTTAACAATATATTGGTACTTTATGTAAAGCTAGTGCAGTTGAAATGATCAACCTCTACTGGACCCTGTATTCCTGGAATTCGACATTCTACACAGAAAAAAGAATAGCGCATTTCAGATCAAAATAAATACGAATATTAACAAAAATGTGCAGCCTTCCGACCGATAATTCGCCCCAGAAATTTGCTCATGTTGAAGAAAGCGGAAAATCGAATAATAAGATACCTATATAAATAAAACTAGCCACACCCGTACCTGAATGGCCGGAACTCACGAAACAAAAGAAAATAAGACGGGGCACAGTGAAGTACAATTTACCGCAATGACCAATTCCTTTTGTTCTAACCGGTAACTTGTGCTGGAAGAGGAAAAGGACGAAGAAATGGGCCAAAGAAGCGAACTGAAGCAACTTACCTCCCCTCTCCCTCCCTCTTCTCCTTTCCTCGCCTCCTCTCCAGCATTTCATGATCCAGTAATTTAAGTAAACATTTTTCCTTTTTTGCGGTTCTTTTTTTTACAGTTTTAGCAAAAGTGCATGCGGTCATTAAACGATGCAGCACTGGTCAAAGTAACTATGGAAGTGAACAAATTGCCAGCCGTGTAGATGGAGCACCAGGCGGTCAACAAATATTTCAGATAATCACCCAGGATGTCCCGTCCTAATGAGCGTTCACGTTGCACAAGCGCTTCTTCTATTTATACATTTCTTGCTATTTTTTCTGGATCAGTAAATTCTGGACAGTTTTCCACTTTCTTCTGTTATTTTTCTCTCTGTCATCGCAGTAACATCACTAAAATGGAACAGACATACCGACAGTTCGGCGGTCCTGCTATTCTTGGTATGTAATATTTTAACCCAAAATGAGTGATTCCCCTCAAAGAGAAGTGTTCCTTTCACCTTTTTCTAAAATTTTCCCTCCCCGGCAACGAGAGAAACAGCAACAGCAGCAGCAGCAGTAGTAGTAGCAGTAGCAGCTAAGCTTCCCTGATAAAAAAAAAAAAAAAAAAAAATGAAGATGCATAATACCCTTGGATGATGAAAGAAACGAGAGAACATCTGTAACAAAAGACCATGTAAAAAACACTTCTCAGCAAACAAATGATAACTATATATTCATCCTATGCATTTCAAACTTCTTCACTGAAACAACAGTATTTGCACGCTGTGTGTTTGTTTTCCTGCCGTACTCACTCTCAGTGAGAGGCTGAGGTACTGCGAAGTACACACTGGAAAGAATTCTACGGTGCCTTCTTTCGAAGACTCTTCAAAAGGGTAAGCTAATGGCGGGTTTGAGTTTTTAGCAAAAATTATTATTTTTTCAGCACTGAAATGAATGAACGAACTGTAGAGAGACTGGTTGTCACGCTAGCGAAGAAACTGAAAAAATCCTGCATTTTTGGCACTAAAAAAAGCGCTCCCACCGCTACATCACGTCCTCCAGCGTGCGTGATTATACCTACGCATGTATATACGAAATATCGAGCAATGTCTGCTAAATTCAACAAATTTCGAAATAGCAGTTAACTTCATTTCTGTTCATTTCATGTCCTGCTTTACCCGCAATAAAAATCCACAGATATCCAGAAATCCCGGAAAATTCGGGGCATCCTTCCGGGCCTCCCCAATTCAGTGAATTTATTTGGGCGCACTGAATATGTTGCAGGTTTCTAATTATTAATACCATTATTATTATCATTAATGTTATTGGATTTACAGTGCTGTGGCAGTTGTGGCGGTGGCCGTGAATCATGTACCAGTCGTTGTCGCTCGGTCATTGCTGTACAACCAGCAGCCATAAATGCATTGGCATTATTCAGTGGTCGAATGATCGGATCGCGGTAAATTGCATTCAGCGGCATTCGGCGTCCACTTCGTTCCGCACATCGAATTTTCCGCAGTGGATCTGTAATCGCATTTTTGAGAGGAAAAATTTTGGGCAGCTTTCTCCTTCATTCGCATGAAACAGAACATAACATACAACTATATGTGAAGCTTGCTCAGCAGACAATACATCGCGTTTTCTCGAATCAAAAACTCAGAGAAATGAAGTAAAAAATACGCATCTATACATTTAAGCATGTTTTTCTCCCTAGTTTTTCACTGTACTGAAGTATGAACAACGTGTTAAATTTCTGAGCCTTTCACAATCCTGGTCAGGCCTACGAGGAGCTAAACGGATGCAAAAAATATCTCAATACTTATAGAGCCCTGCAGAACGGGGGAAAAAGAAGAAACAAGATCTTAATTAAATTGAATCGTAGACCGATAGCGAATTGCAAAAATATTACAACGAAATTTAGGTAAAAGCATTTAGTGTGATTTCGCACATGGTTTTGTGCGTTTTCACATAAACTGATGCAGTGCAAAAGCGCATATTGTGGAGGTAGTTCACCCGTACCGATTCTGTCACCCATTTTCAACTCAACAACCACAGAAGCTAGGAGACTGAAATTTCATGAGGATGTTCCTGGCCCATATGCCACCCTATAAACGTTAAATCAAGGTCCATGTTCGCCTTGGTTAACTTCAAAAACGCAACATACAAAGCAAAAAGCCTCAGGCAAAAGTGCAGAGAAGTTGCTGTTTTAAACATACCTGTTTTGTTGTGAATTAGCCAAAGGATAGAGACAAACGCGACACCGAAACCGAACGATATGATTGCAATGATAATAACAACGTAGAGCGGAATGCCATCTGAACGACATTCGTCATCCTTCCTCGATGCTTGCTCAACTGCTAATGCGCAGATTCCGGCGCATTTGGAATCTGAAAAATTGCTTCTCCTCTTACTCGTTCATAACTTCCCGGAAACGCAATGTTAAGTCTTGATATCTCAGAAGAACTGGGCCGATTATTTGGCAAGGACGACAGATGGGCGCAATGAATTACTGCTCGGTACTCATGAGAGATCAAAGTAAAAACAAACGGAAGGCCACTGTTGTGTTGGCCGATCCACTAAGTCCAATAAGTGCCGGTGCGGGAGAGTTGAAAACCGAAAATGATGGCATGAATGTCGGTTATACTACTGGAGGATGTACAAGTCTATTTTTTATCATTTTCTTTTTATGCGTTTTTTGCAGCAATGCAATGCGAAAAACGCATACTGACGAGAGGTTGTCTGTGTG